ATCCATAATTACATAGGTCCGTTTGGAGGATGGATCATAGTACCGATAGCCCTTTTGATGTGTAGCATATCCCACAAAAAGACATCGGAGAGCACATGGGTCAAGTTTTGTCCGTTGATTCTTGTGAAGATGTACATAGGCCACACAACCAAATACTCGAGGAGAGAGCATTAGAGTTGGTGGTCGAGCAACATGGGATGATAGGACCTGGAGTGGAGTCTTAAAATTTAAGACTTTAGAGGGCATCCGATTGAGTAAGTATACAGCTGTGGACACTGCATCAGGCCAGTAACAGTTTGGAACATAGGTTCCATGAAGGAGAGCTCTTGCAGTTTCAAGAATATGTCGATTTTTCCGTTCAGCAACGTCGTTTTGTTGAGGGGTTTTAGGGCAAGACGTCTCATGAATGAGACCGTGTTGTTCAAAGTAAGTGCGAAACCGTTGGTTGATAAATTCACCACCATTATCAGAACGAAGAACTCTTAGTTTGGCAGAGAACTGAGTTTGAATCATGGCATGGAATGACTGAAATACTTTGAACACTTCATCTTTATTTTTTAGTAGATAGAGCCAGGTCATGCGAGTGCAGTCATCAATAAATGTAACAAACCAACGAACCCCAAACTTTGTAGCAATAGGTGAAGGGCCCCACACATCAGAATGTACTAGGGAAAAAGGAATACTACTTTTATTCATGCTTGATTGATAAGAAGTGCGTTGACTTTTCGCTAAAATGCAGGTATTACATTTAAAATCAGAAACTTCCTTATTCGAAAAAAGGCTAGGTAATAAATGCTTTAAATAACCGAATGATGGATGCCCAAGACGACGATGCCACATCCAAATCTGTCGTTCCTTCACATTACTCTGAACATGATGAGTGCGACCGACACTGAAATCCTCCATGTAGTATAACCCCTCTCTCTTAGTACCACGCCCAAGTATCTCCTTGGTGAGAATATCCTGAAGAAGACAAAAGGTTGGATAAATAAGTACCACGCAATTTAATTCAGCCGTCACTTGACTTACAAACAATAATTTATGTGAGAGTGATGGAACAAGTAAAGTGTGGGATAAATGTAGAGAGGGAGACAGAGATACAGAGCCAGCCCCGGTGACTAGGGAAATAACTCCATTTGCATTCGCAACCCTGTTGCGTCGAGGTGAGGTCCTTTGAATAAAATGTCTTTCATCATAAGTCATATGGTCAGTTGCCCCGGAGTCAAGTAACCATAAATTATTATTCTTGTCACTGGAGGATGTAACACAAGCTGAACTAAAATTACCTGGTTCTGATGAGGGGTCCGTATCCTGAAAATAATTATTTTCAAGAATCAAAGATAGTTGAGAGTCAGATGTTGCCACGGCCGCCTTGCCTATTCACTTATTGGTGCCCGTCCCATTTTTGTTCTTTTTTTCCTGCAACTCGTGCCACCAATCGGGGTATCCATTAAGTTTAAAGTAGTTTTCTCGTGCGTGCTTGTTATTTCCACAGTATGAACACTTAATTTCCTCATCCAAACCCTTTACCTTATTTGGCCCACTTTTATTTGGGCCTCTACCACTTTTATTTGGGTCTCCCTTTAAAGAATTTATTCCAGCAACAGCAAATGATCCCATCTTCACGCCTTTGGTTGCTAAGATCGCTCCAGGAAGACCATTGTCGGAGTCTGTAGAAACCATGGCTGCTTGTCGCAGTGCCTCACGACGGACGTACGCATACGCCTGCTCAACGGTAGGAAACAGGTCCATCTGCAAAACTCCACTACGGATGCTATCGAGACGTTCATCGAGCCCATCAAGGAAGGTGTAAACTCTGTCTTCCTGGGTCAAATTATTGAAGTGGCGGATGTCAGCGGCACACTTCATTGGATTTGGGCGACGGAAGTCAATTTCGCGCCACAACCCCTGCAGTTCAGTGTAATATTTCTCCACAGATCCGCCTGCTTGTCTTAGTCAACTCACCCTTCGTTGAAGATCATAGACTTGGGATTTATCATTCCCATCAAAGTATGTAGTGGCAATAGCATCCCAAACTTCCTTAACAGTGTGGAAACGAATGAAATTGCCAATCAGAACAGGGTCCAACGAATTGATAAGTCATCCCTTGACAATGGCATTCTCAGTTCGTCATTTTCGGAAGGAGGGATCAGTTGGTAGGGGTGGAGGTGTATCTCCATTAATGTAACCCAGTTTATCTTTCCCGGAAATATACATTTCCATAACCTGGGACCATGGGCCATAGTTTGTATCATTCAGTTTGATACCAATTTGGGGCGAATTTTCAGTGAGTGGGGCTGATATGTGTGTCTTGGTTAAGGCTTCAGAAATTTTGATGGAAATATCTGTAAGTATAGCATCAGAATTAGGTGAAGATTGGCTGGGATCGGTGATGAAGTTGGGGTCTTCCATGTGTTTGTGAAAATGTTCATAAGAACCGGGCTACAGGTAACTTGGAGAAGAGGAACCAGGACCGTGTGTCCTGCTCTAATACCATGTCACAATACACACAAGAGATAATTTTCATTCATACATTCAATAGGTGGGTTACAGAGTTTATATAGAAAAAAAACTCCTAATTTTGGATAATCACAAATTTGTAACTAATTAATTGATTCTACACATAATTGCCTAATTCTATTCCCTTAAAATGATACAATTATATATGATTTATATTTCCAGAAAAAGATTTCTAACAACTCACGCCAACATTATCCGTGTTTTGTAGCCTAAATAAGTGTGTAAAACTCATTTTTCATTTAAATAAAACTAGAAATATGTGATGCTTAAATAAGGGCACGAGAACAGAGAACAAAACTTAAGAAATCATTATTCTCTTCTTCCATGTCGTAGCTTATAGAAGAAGATGTCAACAGCAAAGACTATACAAGAGAAGGAGAAAAGCATTTAGGCACTGACGCCCGAAAATGCCTCTCTACGTGCAAATTTGAAAATCTAAAAGTAATTTGCAAGGCGAATCCTGTGAAAATAAATTACAGTATAACCAGCTTCTTTCACGAGAACAGTAGCAACATGCAGGTATGAAAAATATGTGATAGCATATCGAACAAGAGGCGAAAGGAGCGACGGACAAATAGGTCCACCCTGAATAGACTTTCATCACAGAAGATATAACTAGCTCTATCATCGTGAATGTCAAAGAGCAGAAAGTTTTACCAATTCTTCATAAAATACTCCTCCATATGAAGACTATGAAGATCGACCTGCGACATTATACGAATTAGATAATGATGAGCACCATTAAGAATGAAGAAAATAGAGAAAGCTCGCACGGAGAAACTCAAGAACAAAGGAAACGCAACAGTATTTGCTTTTCGGTGGGCCTGAAGATAAGGTGCATACAATTTCTCCAGCCCCTCGTCGATTATTGACGAAATACATCCATCCCCTAAGATTCAGAAGTCGAAGTTCTACGAAATCCATTTCACCAAAGATCATGATATGTAATGCTTCAAAGTACTCAAACTAGCAAGACTGCGAAGGCAGCAAGGAAACGTGAACAACTTTTTTGAAAGTCAGGTACTAAAGAGTGAGGTCGACGAGTGAGGCCAAGGTATCAAAACCATCACGTACATTAATCAATGTCTTAAATCCTCGACATCCATTAAGAAAATAAATACTATAATCAGAGGCCCTTACATCGGCATAAAAGCAATGAACGCACAAAAAAATTATGCGCGAGTAGCTAAAAAGCTCGCGTTGGAAAATTTTTGGATTCGAGGTAATTCTAAAATTGCATCTCTTCTAATTACTTTTAATGATAATGATGAACAGGGATTATATATCCCATTGTGATGCAATGGTAGAACGAGCAGTGATAGTTCACAATGGCCTAAACTGTACATTGGTAGATAATTATAGTTCTGTGGATATTTTGTTTGGAAGTGCTTTAGACCAGATGCAACTTAACCACTCTTAGGTGTCTATGGCTGAGCCCTTGTAGGGGTTTACTGGTGATAGTTTGATTCAAAGGTGACAAATTATTTTAACAATCAAATTGGGCGAAGAGCCAGCAATGCTCCAAGAATATATGGACTTCTTGATCATATACAAGAAGTCCGCTTATACGGAATCCTTGATAGTTTGAAAATCCTTGTGCTTGGTGAGTTGAAAAACTCTCCTGCCAGTAAGGGTAGTACTACAAGTACTAGGGAAATCATGAATATTAAAACAGTGAAATCAAAACCAGACCCGAAATAAGGTTGTAGTAATGAGAATTGTGAAGAACACATGAAGAAGATAAAAGGCAAATCTCTTTCTGCCTATAATGAAGGTTTGATCGAAGGTGAGTCTCTTTCCGCTGTGGTGGAATTTTGATCAACGGCGAGTCCATTTCTACCTACAACAAAGTCTTAACCAAAGGCTAGATTTTTTCTACCAAAGAAACACTGGGAGTTCTACCACACAAAAGTCAACTATAGAGGGTGAGTCCATTTTTGCCCATACAGAAATCTGATGTCATGATAATGAAAATAATATTGTAACTACGCACGATATATTTGTTTAGTGATGATCGATGACAATAGTCATGATAGTAATCCTTATGTACAATTTATCTACAAATGTTTACCCCGAAACCCTCCCACTCAAAAAGTAGTAGAAACTTCTATTCTTTTCACTTGCATGCATTTTTGTTCTTGTTCTGGTTTGGTTTGTATGTAAGAATGAACTGCATTATGCTTGTTACGTTTCCATTACTTCTTGGTGTATTTTGAGTGGTGCAGGGTGATTGTTTAAGACCAAAATCCCCTGACGAACATGTTGGTCTTAAAAGCCAATTGAGTATGCATCTATTAGAGGATAGTTAAGTGACATACAACCAAAATTGATGAGTTGCATAGTAAGATCGTCCTATGAGAAGATAAAAGAGATTGACAGGGTAGTGGAGCTCTAAATTTGATTATTTTTTGAATGTCGACCCAGCAAAGGCGATGACTTTTAAATTTAAAAAATGCTGAAACACATGGGAGCGCAGCAAATAAAAGTAAAAAGAAGACAGTTTCTCCAACGAACTGATCATAAATTGACAATGACATCATAACTTCTTCCAACGTTTGGCAATTGAGTTGGAAAAAACTAATTTCCAACTGGAAAAATCCAAAACTTCAGTGATGCACCCTTCACTCTTCTTCCATTAATTTCTATTTCCTACATGATCATGTAAATACTTGCACCTATCTCCATAGCGACAGATTCCTTGAGCAAAAAATCTGCAAACCTTCTTTCTTTCGGGGCCTTGCCTTTGGACCGGATTCCTAGTTGCGTTGAAGTTCTCCTGAGTGCGAAAAGAATGAATTTGTACTGAATTGCTCATAGGATAAGGTCCCAGTAATGAACTCCTTGTGTCATTGTTATTTTTATTATCTTTAAAAATGTGGTTTAGTATTGGAATCTGCTGATAATTGGATTTATGAATGTAGCTTTGAGTTTGCACTTGAATTGGACTCCTTGAGGTGTTGAAGTTATTGTACTGTAAATTCCTGTTTGGACTCCTCGGAAAACTGCAATTCACGACAGTGAAAGGTTGCCTATGATGGAGCCTTTCTGGTAACACACGTGCATTTGAAGGATCGTTGGACTTTCCTTGCAAACTTTCTTGCTGCTGCAGAATGCTCACTCCACAAGTTTTGGGATGGCAATACTCCCGTTGAGAATATCCTTCCTGTACAGCATTGTTTTTCTCCTGCTGCTTTTGAGGTTGGTTTCCCTGCTTCTCTGGGTTGATTGGTATAGAATCAGATAACTTCCCGTGCTTGTTCTGGTTTTCCAGTCTTGCTACCCTGATATAGATATTGAGCATTAGAACATTGATCATAACGTCAAGTATGGAATTCATAGGCAATCAAATAGGAAAGGATGCTCTGAACCGTAGTACAACCTAGCAACATGTATCGAATTTGAAAGAGTCAGTTCATTAAGTTTTTCATAAACTTCATTACCGCAATAAATTATTATAGACAATAATTTTGATAACCATTTTGATACCTATTTGATTTGTGCATCTTTCGCATTTCCTTCTCTTGTATACGTGCTTCCCGATCTGAGCGTGCCATGGATCCTCTAGCATGCTTTTCTGATAAAATTTTCTGTCTTTCCCCTTCATCTTCCCATCTCTTCAAGTTCACAAGAATTTTGAGGAAAATGGAAACAGAAAAAATAAAAATAAAATCACAAGAAAGTGTAAAGGTAATGCATCTTTGCATTATTCTGATAAAATTTTCTGTCTTTCCCCCTTCATCTTCCCATCTCTTCAAGTTCACAAGAATTTTGAGGAAAAAAATAAAATAAAAAATCACGAGAAATGTAAAGCTAATGCATCTTTGCATTAAACTAAAGTATATGACATATAAACAACACTTGAACATTGTTTTGCTTACCTGTCTCATTGTTCTTAACCTGTAGAGGTTCCTGCCTTTGATCAGAAGGGGATGAAGTGGAGGCAGTGGTTTCTCCCCTCTGCTCCACAATACTTCAATCTGCTCAAGTTAGACGAGAATAAATTTATTCTACAGAAGGGCTAAATATGAAAAGATTAAATGCTACAGCAAAGTCTTAAAATTGATTAAGCCCCATATTTTGATCAGAAACTATTTCAATATTTTTGCAATCTTAATAGAAATGAATATGGACAAATTCTATATATTGTTAGAAATATACTGATCACATTGCTCAGGACTAAAGGAGGCCATTAAATTCTTTTTACAAGCTAAGTCAATACTGATATCTGAATGATATGCATTATAAAGTAAATGTGAAAGAAATAGGCACTATGCAGCAACCAATTTTATTGAAGCTATATATGGCAATGATAGGCCATATATGATGGCGAATACCTAATGCAAGTTTATAATTGGCCTAGGCTGATTGAGTAACTGACCGTAAATGTATGTTGCTGCTTAGCAGCTCCATAGCTCTCCTTCACAATCCGCCCTGCAACAACCCGTGTACCACATGGAGGACCATTTGCACTCCTAGATGCAATGCTGAACCTGATCAATCAAAAGACCACAAGGTTTGACGTAGCTGCAACAGGTAAAGCTTTCATACATTGTGTGAAGATCCTTTCTTACTTTTCAAATTCATTTTTAGAAAAATAAATGGACAAAAAACTAATGGATACTGCTTGCCAAAAAACCTGACTCCAAGGCCGAGAGATGCACGGTACTTTAAGAAAAGAGAGAGGGGGGGGGGGGGGGGGGGGGGGGGAGCCTAACTGGCAGACTGCAGATGAGGTGCATATACAATAGAGATTACAGAGACAGGCGACCAAATTATACGTTAGTTTATGGAAGGTTATTGTCTGTCAATGGTGTTATTTTAGTTGACTTAAAATAATAACAGCTAATGAGTTAGAAACTCCATTAGAAAAAAGGTCCTCTGCTTCAATTTTCACCAAAAGGCAGAGGATATCACTCCATGACAAAAAGATAAATCTAACCTATAGGGGTGAATAGTTTGCAAGTTAATTGGAATCTCATTCAAGAATCAAGATATAAACTTACATTTCATACACATTCTGTTCAAACATAACTACATCTCCTGTGCATGCATCACCTGCATAATTCAATCTTCCAAAATTAGAAATAGAGAGGAAATACGGTAGGAACAGAAAGGATCTAAACCATAATATTGCATGTTTGATAGGAGGAATTGTATACAAGAAAAAGAAGCAAATCTTGTTCGTTATGGTGAGGTAGTAAATTGTTAAGACTCGAACCCGGTTTTGTGCTCCCATAATTTTCAGAGTTTAAAACGCATTTTTATAAGTGGCATTGCACTGAATTGTGACACCTGGCATATAACCTACCGGTAAAAAATGAAGGGTTTGATCACTGGAGATATATATTATCCATGGAGTCGGTTCATTTGGCCTCAGATTTTTCATTTTCTCTAGTGACCTTTCGTGTGAGAGTTCAAGAGAGCTCCATTTTCTCTCTGGGTGGCTAGGGTTTCTGGTTTCTCTATTTTTCCGTTGAACATCTCATTCAAAGATTGTAGGTTGATGTTTTAGCCACATTATGCTTGTATAAGTATGAGGAAGTTCTCATGTGTTGAGATCTGAGAAGGAAGTCTATTAGTTCTTGAGTGATCTGAGGCAGATCTGTTGACTTCTTGAAGAGATAAGTCTCTTCACTTGTGTATTTTGTATTGGCTTAACTATGTAATCTTCGTTGCCGATTTTTGAGGCTTTTAGTGCAACCGAGCAATATCCATTTTTGATTGGATGCTCAATAGGGATTAGGTGTTTTAACGAGCACTGAAACCTCTAGGGCTTTGGCCGAAAAATTCTACTGTGTTCATTTTACTTTTCTGCAAGTTTAATTTCTGTTTTATTATTGATCGACTGAAACTTGCAACTAATCTTGTGGATTTTGGCCCCTTTCAGTGGTATCAAAGCGTTAAGCTGGGGCAAGATACTTGGATCTTCAAAGGAAGAGGTCAATCTGCTGCAGATCTGAATTTTGGAACTGCTATTGAGTAGTGTTGGAGGACTTTTCAAGTAAATAATACTTACTGGGTGAGATCTTTTAATTTTTGTAAAATTTACTTTTCAAAAGTTAGGGTTTTCGTTATTTCTCCCTTGATTAGCCATACACCATAACCCTCTGGTGTCTGGTCTTTGTCCAAGGGCTTCTGTGAGGCCTTGGAAATCTGAGATAAGCCCAAAACGGGAGTGTATCTGGAGAATTTTGAAGGAGAAGTTTCTGAAACCTAGAACTATTGCCCTTTGTTATTGTGTCCTTACTTGACTTGTGATTAAGACTTGCAAAATTGTGTCTTCTTGGAACATTGCCGTGAATCTTGATTTGCACTATTGTGTATCTTTTGCATACTTTGCTATGATCATCTTGGCTCTTGCTTGTGCAGTGTGTGGCATAATAAAATGGCCACTGTTAAATTTGAGGTTGCACAATTTAATGGTAAAATTGACTTTAACATGTGGAGTCAAAAGATGAAAGCTATCCTAATGCAAATGAGACGTGTTAGGGCTTTAGATGATAGTTGGCCTCAAGATATGAATCCTGCTAGGAAAATTGAATTAGAAGAGGTGGCCTGGGGTACTATTTTTCTGTACGTGGCTGAAAATGTGATAAGGACCATTGGTGAAATTAAAATAGCCTTTGAACCGTGGACCAAACTTAAGAAAAAATATGTGACTAAGACAATCCCAAATAAGTGTTACTTGTTAAAACAACTCTTTTCTTTCAAAATGGACCTTTCAACAGACTTGGATGACAATCTGAACATGTTTACTAAGTTGACCCAAGATTTGACCAACTGTGATGAAAAACTTTCACAAGATCAGTTGGTTGTGATCCTATTAAACTCCATTAGTGATAAATATAAAGATATTAAGATTGCCTTGGAATATGGTAGGGCAGAACTTACCACAGAAATAATAATCAATGCCTCAAAGAACAAAGCCTTAGAGATTAAATCTGAATCCAAGGAGAATCACAATGGGGATACCTTACTGCCTAAGGGAAGGGGTAAACCTAATTACCACCCAAAAACTTCAAATGAAAATAAACAGAAACGGGGTGATAAGGGTAAGTCTAAGAATAAAGCCGAAGGTAAGAAATGTTTTTATTGTGGGAAACAGGTCACTTTATCAAATGTTGCTACAAAAAGAAAAATGAATTAAAAGAAAAGAAACATTATGATGGGAATGCTGCCTTAGTATATAATAAAGATAAAAATGAAGATGGTTTGGTCCTTGATAATGGTGAGAAGAAACTGAATGATGAATGGATTCTTCACTCAGGCTGTTCCTTCCATATGTGCCTAAATAAAAATTGTTTTCTTGAAATTGAAAAGACAACTAGTGGGCAAGTTATGATGGGTAACAATATGACTTGTTAAATAAATGGAATAGGTACTGTTAAATTGTTACTAGAGAATGGGAGGTCCTTTTTTTAAAAGGAACCAAATATGTTCCAGAATTAGAAAGGAATCTGGTGTCATTGGTATGTTGGATGATATGGAGTTTAACATAAAAGTGGGTCAAGGATATACTCATATTCTTAGGTGCAATGATTTAATCATAAGTACCCCTAAGAAACATGGTCTTTACTTTCTTAAAGCTAAACCCCTTACTTGGCTTGATTGCTGCTGTTTTAACTGAAAATTTTTCTCTTACAAAACTATGGCATGAAAGACTTGACCACATTAGCAAGAAAAGTCTAAACGCTTTACAAAATAAAGTAGTTTTTGGTGATCAAAATCTTGGTAATATTGGTCACTGTGAACAATGTGCGATTGGTAAACAAGTAAAGCTTCCTTTTTTGCCTGGAATTCATAAAACCAAACAAATACTTGAGTACTTGCATACTGATTTGTGGGGTCCTGCATCTATGTCTACTATATCTGATTTTAAATACTATTTTTTGATCATTGATGATTTTTCAAAAAAAACCTAGGTTTTTTTTGTTAAAAACTAGAGATGAAACTTTTCTAGTTTTCAAAGATTGGAAAACTTAAATTGAAAACCAAACTGATCATAAGATAAAGATTTTAAGAACTGACAATGGTTTCGAGTTTTGCAATCATGAATTTAATAGTTTCTATAAAATGTTATTGCAGAAAGAATGAATAGAACTTTGCTAAACAAAGTTAGGTGCATGCTCTTGAATTCTAATTTGTCAAAAATATTTTGGGGGGAAGCTGTGAAAACTGCAGCATACCTTGTTAATAGAACCTCCACTAGTGCACTAAACTTTGAAGTTCCTGAATCTGTCTGGACTAAAAATTCTGTTGATTACTTTCACCTAAAAACCTTTGGATGTGCTAAATATGCTCATCAAAACATTGGAAAGTTAGAACCTAGATCACTTAAATGTGTTTTCTTAGGTTATGATGAAAATGGTAAAAGGTACAAGTTGTGGGTTAAAGGTGAAAGAGGGTATATGGTGATTATTAGGAGGGATGTACTTTTTAATGAATCTCTTATGCCTTTTTTAGAAGGAAAACATCATAAGTTTACTAGTGAGGATGTTCAAATTGAGGTGGAGGCTCTTCATGCTGATGAAGCAACACCTGCACCTCTTACAATAGAAACTATTACTGCAGAAAATGACATTTTAAGTGAAACTGAAAATGATCCAATCTCTAATCCTAATAATCTGTCTGATAATCCTACTTTTCCTATTAATTATCAATTAACTAGAGATATGGAAAGAAGGCAAATCAGACCATCAGCTAGATATGATTATGATGATTTTGTTTCTTTATTCACCTATCAAGAACAATCTAATAATAAGCCTAACTCCTATGATGATGCTATTAAATGTAAAGATGCTAAAAATTAGATAGCAGCTATGGAAGATGAAATGGGTTCACTTCTTAAGCCCCCATTTGGCCCCCATTAATTTGAATTATAATGGGAGGAATAGTATTTTTTTTAAAAATGAATGGTTATAAAAGAATGAAAAGTTTTTTATTTACATGTAATATTATTTTATTGAAGATTGTATAGTTGAAAATAAGAAAGAAAAAAATTTAATTTAAATTGATGATATTTAAAGGGGGCCAAAACAGGGTCTAAAAATGAAACCTGGAAATTAGTTGAAAAGCCTAAAGGTCAAAAGCTCATAGATTGTAAATGAATCTATAAAATAAAGGAAGGAGGAGGGAGAAATAACAACATAAGATATAAGACTAGGTTAGTAGCCAAAGAATTTACACAAAAAGAAGGTGTAGACTATAATGAAATATTTTCTCCTATTGTTAAGTATACAACAATTAGATATATAATGATAGAACAAAACACATAAACATTAAGTATCATTTTATTAGAGATATAATCTCAAAAGGAATTTTGAAAATTGATAAAGTGCCTACCCAATAAAATCCCTTTGATATGGGAACTAAGATAATACCTTTGAAAAAGTTTAAGAACTGTTTGAAAATATTATCTATTGATACTGTGCCATGATTTACAGGTACTTTGAGAAAATGAAATGATAGAATGATATTGTCTCCTGGCTGCACTTGATTTGAAAAACTATGGTAGCAAAGTGGAGATTGTTAAGACTCGAACTCGATTTTGTGCTCCCATAATCTTCAAAGTTTAAAATGCATTTTCAAAACACGTTTTTATAAGTGGCATTGCACTGGATTGTGACACATGTGGATTGTGACACATGTAATATTACCTACCGTTGGACGGAGGTTTGATCACTGGAGATATATATATTATGGAGTCGGTTCATTTGGCTTCAGATTTTTCATTTTCTCTAGTGACCTTTCGTGTGAGAGTTCGAGAAAGTTCCATTTTCTCTCTGGGTCGCTAAGGTTTTTGGTTTCTCTATTTTTCTGTTGAACATCTCATTCGAAGATTGTTGGTTGACGTTTTAGCCATATTATACATGTATTTTCTTGAGTGAAAATGTGTTAAGTATGAGGGAGTTCTCATGTGTTGAGATCCGAGAAGGACATCTGTTAGTTCTTGAGTGATCTGAGGCAACAGATTTCTTAAAGAGATAAGCCTCTTCTCTTGTGTATATTGTATTGGTTGAACTTTGTAACCTTCGTTGCCGATTTTTGAGGCTTTTAGTGCAACCAAGCAATATCCATTCTTGATTGGATGCTCAACAAAAGATTAGGTGTTTTAACGAAGACTGAACATCTAGGGGTTCGGCCGAAAAATTCTACTGTGTTCATCGACTGTATCTTGCAACTAATCGTGTGGGTTTTGGCCTCTTTCATAAATCCATCATCGCATAACACCTAATCTTTTGTTGAGTGACCTGCAAACTGAGTGCTGATGGGCAGAACTAAGATAGGTAGGAAAACAAATGATAGGGCAATTTCCCAAGCGCAAATGCTAACAATTTATACCTTTGCAATTAAGCACGAAACTAGAAGCTGGATACTTTTTCTCCCCACCATCATCAACAATACTGAAAAGTATATAAGCATTTATTATTGCAAGGGGCTAAATAAATACAAAAATCAATAAATTAGAGCCCAAATAAAAGAAAGGAAGAAATTACTCGAGATATTCCATAATTCGTCCTATGAGGATATCTTTATTGCCTGTCAATCGCAGTCCATGCTTCCTCAGATAAACTCTGCACTGATCAACTTTTAATTTCATAATCATGCCACCTGCTCCCATTGCAAAACACACTCCCCACTTTAGACAATTCATTTTCACGCTCACACATGAAGCAACAGAAGCATATCTTCGAACAACTTTACTGCAATATTCTATACTTGCATATGCGCATGGGTAAAGTTCAAATCTAACAAAGAATAAATAGAACAGAAATTTTAGTTGAAACCTTCGATGAGTTTTCGAACAGTTTCATAACTTTTCTGATCCTTCTCATCAAACTCAGGCAGAATCATATCAATAACATCTACATCTTCCTCAACGTTCTCCTCCATTTCCTTTTCAGAACTATCAAAAACAAGACAAACCCACAAAATTTAGCATCAAACAATCACCGCGCTAATTAAAACCAAATTTGGCATCTTCGTATGAGTTTATTGAATATTAGCAACAAAAAAAAGGTACCTGCATTTGGCTTTTTTCTTGATCCTGAGGTTCGAGAAACTCGATCGCGTCTCCTCAAGGATATCAAAATTTGGGTCAGCTTGTGAATCATCAGAATCGTATGGATCTCTGTCCGAATCGCAGTAATCTTCTCGCCCAGAAATTTCCATTTGTTCTGAATTCATTTTCCAAGAGTGAAATGAAATCTTTCTTTCTATTAGAATGAGAAATGGGAGAAATGTGACCGTTGTAAATGGAGGGGTGCTATTTTTTATTTTTATTTTTTGAAATGGATCACATGAATTTGAATTAGTTACCGTGAAAGGGGGGTTTTTTTTAGGGATTCATTTAAAAGGCTTGGTCAAACTAAACATTTGTTCAAAAAGACTAAGAACTAAGACTTTTAGTTGAAAGGACTAAAGTTATTAAATATGAAAAATAGAATTTGTAAAAGACTAAAATATCCTTGTATGTGAAATGATGATATTGCTCTTATTTTCATTTCAATTTCTTTTCAACTCTAATGTCCTTCCCTCCCTCCTCTAAGAACGACTCAACCACTATAGATGCCTCCATGCTGATTTCTTATCATCATCTTCTTCTCTACTTAATGAAATCACAAAATTTACATTCTCATTCCCTTGAACGTTCATTTGGTTGAAGTGAATAATAAAGTCTTACTACATTTTTATTGGGCATTTGGAGAAGAAGATAGGGTATGGTAAATTTTTGATATTTGAGCCACTTTCTTTCTCCATTGTTTTGAATCATCCGTTCATGTTGTTGTTTATGTGTTTGTGGTGTTCATTTTTCAATAATGATTTTGAATTTATTTTATGATTTGATTGGATCTTTAAATGGGTTACTTCCCAATCTTATTCTCATTACCCCTTATTTGTATTCCTTAATATTAATTAAAGTGAAATGTAAAGTGGTGAAGGATGATTGGCTTTTTTCACATTGTTTTCACGTGAAACGTGTATTTGATTTTTTCAGTACAAAACGACATTCATATCGTTTTATGAAATTGTGAACGACATAGATATCGTTTTCTGAAATCCATGACAACGTACATATCATTATCAATACTCTATGATGTTTGAAATTTGATGAAATTTATATGTTGAGTTACAGGTTATGGACACCATGGACATGGTATGGATATCGGTTTGTTATCCAATTGAATATAAGCAGACAGTTGAAGGTGGATGGAAATGGAAGTATTTTGGAAATGGCAAAGGGAAAACAATACCTATTCTTGTTGCAAAAACAGTTTCTTACATGGAACTATATGATAAAGTTAAGGAGGCATTGAATATCGATACGAGTCTCTACAAAATGGAGATTTCAGCTCTTGTCCCGATAATGTCTAAAGCTCTAGCTGCACCAATCATAAGTGATTGTGACAACAACGTAAAGTGGTTTATATCTGCCTGTACAGAAACTTTTCTTTGTGTAAGTATTTTAAATGAAGTTGTTGAGAATCAGGAAGATTTTGGTGATGAAGGATGTTTATTAGTAATAGATGGTGGAGAACGAATTGGAAATATGAACAATGAGGAGGAACAAGATCGAGCAGACAACGATGGTAATGATGACAATGGTGATGGAATATTTGTAGATTGTAATGGTTTTGACGTAAGTGAAGATAGGCCCCGAAGGGTAGATGACGAAGTTAATTCTCCTGTGGCAAATGACAATAATTTTAGTTACGCATGCATGAACCTTGCAGTAGGGATATAATGAATGGTAATGATGTTGAATGTACTCAGATTGTATCTGAAAGTGTAAGTTTGCTCTGTTACGAGACATCAGTAAAAATTTCGGAACGATTAGATATGCGAGTCAACCAGTTGTTTCCATCGAAATATGACCTAATATCAAAATTACAGTTGCTAGCTGTGAAGTGCCAGTTTGAGTACAAAGTTAAGAAGTCAAATAAGAGTACTTATACAATTGTTTGTATTGATGAAAATTGCAAGTGGCGCTTACGGGCAACCAAGATCGTAGAAAGTCCCATTTTCGAAGTTCGAAAGTACAATGGTCATCATTCTTGCTCCATGAGTGTTCATCACAGAGATCATAGGCATGCTTCATATATGATTATTGGAAACCACATCGCTCCTAAGTACGAAGATGTCAACCGAGTTTACAGACCAAGGGACATTATTAATGACATTCGTCGAGAGTTCGGCATAACCGTAAGCTATACTAAAGCGTACATGGCTAAAAATTTTGTTTGTGGACTGATTCATGGGAAACCCCGTGAGAGTTATGCGAAATTGCCAGCGTATTGTCATGTTTTGGAGATGCAAAATCCTGGTACACTGACATTCATTCATACTAATGATGATCGGCGCTTCAAGTACCTTTTTATGGCATTGGGACCAAGTATACATGGGTTCGTAAACTCAATGGAAAGGTAATTTCTGTAGACGGTGCATTCTTGACATCGAGAATGAAAGGTACTCTACTCGTAGCAACTTCTCAGGATGCAAATTTTCAAATATTTCCACTCGCATGGGGAGTAGTTGATTCGGAAAATGATGAATCCTGGACTTGGTTCTTTCAGAAGTTGCGGTTAATAACATGTGATACGGATGACCTTGTGATTATATCTGACCGTGCAAAGTGCATCAAAAATTGAGTTAGAAATGTGTTTCGATTTGCTCATCATGGTAATTGTCACTTGCAAAAGAACTTGAAGACAAATTTTCCATGGTATGATGTTGCAACTTTGTTTAGGGCAGCGTCAGAGGCTTATACTGTAACCGAATTTGAGTTCTACATGGCAGCTCTATGCAGTAAAAAGGAGGGCATCAAAGAGTACCTATTAGAAGAAGATTTTCAATGTTGGGCTAGAGCGCATTTTACCGGGATACGTTACAATATCATGACTACAAATAATGCGGAATCTATAAATGGTTTGTTGAGAGTGCTCGAGAACTTCCCATAGTTGGTTTACTAGAATATATTCGTGGGATACTACAAAGGTGGTTTTATGAAAGATATGTTGAAGCAGAAAAATGTGTTACCCAACTCACGCCAGCATTAGAGAAAAAGATGTGCATGACATATAATGAGTCAAATGGGTTGGAGGTAAATCAGGTTTCTCCGGACATTTATCAAGTTGGTGACAATTTAGAACACCACTTTGTGGATTTTTACGAAATGACATGTACGTGTAGAAGATTTGATTTGGATAAGTTTCCATGTGCGCATGCAATTGCTGCAGCAAGATTTAAAGGAGACGAGGGCTATAAATTAAGTACCCCCTTTTACACTAGTATTTGTTGGAAGCAAACTTATTCTAAATTCGTATATCCTTTGTCAAACGAGGTCGAATGGCAAATTCCTAAGAATGTGATAGCCAGAGAAGTATTTCCACCATTGGTACGAAGACAGGGCGGACGACCATCAAAAAAGAGGAAAAGGTCGGCCGGAGAGACGCGTGTGGCTCGTAAGTGCAGCAGGTGCAAGAAAACTGATCATGTTCAATCCACTTGCACGGGCCAAGTAGCTAGTAGTGAACATTAATGTTGTAACACTATCTTATTTTGTAACTATATGACTTCGTACTTATTATATCAACTGAATGAAATCACTTACTAGATTTTGTACTCATTGTGTTATTGAAATATTTTTGTACCGTTGGAATCAAATTTTAGTATTTTAGGTATTCATGTTCCTATCTTCTCACAGGGAATGCAAACTACGTTCATGTCGTTACAGTAGACATGAATGTCGTTTCAGTTCAAAAATTGTACAGATTAACAGAACGAGTTATAAATCGTTTCTGAGACACAAAACGACATTCATATCGTTTCAATGTTAAATACACACTGCTTCTCTGATTTTTCTGAACGACTTAGAACTTATTATGAATATAAATAACGACTTAAAAGTCGTTTCAGTTAAAATTTATACTAAAACGATTTATACCACGTTTTCGAAACACAAAATGACATTCATATCATTTAAATGTTAAATACACACTGCTTCTCTAATTTTACGTAGCGACTTAGAACTCGTTATGAGCATAAATAACGACTTAAAAGTCATTTCCCTAAAAATTTATACAAAACCAATTTCTATCTCGTTTCAAGGAAACAAAACGACATTCATATCGTTTTAATGCTAAATACACTGCTTCTCTGATTTTGCGTAACGACTTAGAACTCGTTATGAACATAAATAACGACTTAAAAGTCGTTTCAGTTAAAATTGATACTAAAACGATTTCTACCTCGTTTCTGGGATACAAAACGACATTTATATCGTTTCAATGTTAAATACACTGCTTCTCTGATTTTGCATAACGACTTAGAACTCGTTATGAACATAAATAACGACTTAAAAGTCGTTTCAGTTACAATTGATACTAAAACGATTTCTACCTCGTTTTTGGGTGACAAAATGACATTCATATCGTTTCAATGTTAAATATACACTGACTCTCCAATTTTGAGTAACGACTTAGATATCGTTATAGGCACACATAACGACTTCTAAGTCGCGTCAGCTAAAATTGATACTAAAACGATTTCTAACTCGTTTCTAGGACACAAAACGACATTCATATCGTTTCAATGTTAAATACACACTGCTTCTCTGATTTTGCGTAATGACTTAGAACTCGTTATTAACATAAATAACGACATAAAAGTCGTTTCAGTTAAAATTTATATTAAAACGATTTCTAAGTCGTTTCTGAGACACAAAACGACGTTTATATCGTTTCAATGTTAAATACACACTGCTTCTCTGATTATCATTTCTTCTCGTTCAGAACGACATTGATATTGTTCTAGCGTAATTGTTCCTGAAAGTTGATCCATCTCGTTTCTTTACAAATCTGACGAGTTCGAAATCGTTTCAGCTGAAATTATAAGTGCAACGACATCGGTATCGTTTCTTCACAGTTGAAATGACATTAGTATCGTTATACTTAAAAATGGCGTTTCAACTATCCACGGCCACCGACATACATCCCACCGTACGTATGACGATGAAAACAGGTTATCGAGCCGGCTCAATCTCACTCGAACGATGCTATGGTAACGTTTGTTATTTCATAGTTGTCTTTCACACTCAGATTGTTTCCATAGAAATAAGGTATCTCCATTAGCTCTTTCGGACCATTCGAGAGCTACTAGCCCACTTGTTACGCTCTTTCGATCGTCATACACATTTCGGAGTTATGTGCAGCAATCGAGGATGATCGAAATGTCGTTTCTAGGCATAACGATATAAATATCGTTATGTTCTTGAAGAAACGACTTTGAGGTCGTTTTAGATGTTATATAAACTGAAACATGTTAGAAGTCGTAAAATTATACAAGGAACGACATAAATATCGTTATGTACCAAGTAGTGAAATAACGTAACGTTGTCCATCTCGTTTCTTTACAAATCTGACGAGTTCGAAGTCGTGTCAACTGGAATAATAAGTACAACGACATCGGTATTATTTCTTCACAGATGAAACGACATTAATGTCGTTATACCTAAAAATGACATTTCGATCTTCCTTGACCGCTCCACATACCTCCGAAATGTGTATGACGATCGAAAGAGCGTATCAAGTGGGCTGGTAGCTCTCGAATAGTCCGAATGAGCCAACTGAGATACCCTATTTCTATGGAAACAATCTGAGTGTGAAAGACAACTATGAAATAACAAACGTTACCATAGCGTCGTTCGAGTGAGATTGAGCCGGCTCGATGACCTGTTTTCATCGTCATACGTATGGTGGGACGTATGCCGGTGGTCGTTGATGGCTGAAACACCATTTTTAAGCATAACGATACTAATGTCGTTTCAACTGTGAAGAAACGATACCGATGTCGTTGCACTTATAATTTCAGCTGAAACGATTTCGAACTCGTCAGATTTGTAAAGAAACGAGATGGATCAACTTTCAGGAACAATTACGCTAGAACAATATCAATGTCGTTCTGAACGAAAAGAAACGATAATCAGAGAAGCAGTATATATTTAAAATTGAAACGATAAATGTCGTTTTGTGTCTCAGGAACGACTTAGAAATCATTTTAATATCAATTTTAACTGAAATGACTTTTATGTCGTTATTTATGTTCATAACGAGTTCTAAGTCGTTACGCAAAATCAGAGAAGCAGTGTCTTTAACATTGAAACGATATGAATGTCGTTTCGTATCTCGAAAACGATGTAGAAATCGATTTAGTATCAATTTTAACTGAAACGACCTTTAAGTCGTTATTTAGGTTCATAACGTGTTCTAAGTCGTTACGCAAAATCAGAGAAGCAGTGTGTATTTAACATTTAGACGATATGAATGTCGTTTTGTGTCTTGAAAACGATGTAGGAATCGTTTTAGTTTCAATTTTAACTGAAACGACTTATAAGTCGTTATGTGAGGTTATAACGATTTCTAAGTCGTTACTCAAGATCAGAGAAGCAGTGTGTATTTAACGTTGGAACGATATTCATGTCGTTTTGTGTCTTGGGAATGAGGTCGAAATCGTTTTAGTATTAATTCAAATTGAACAACTTATAAGTCGTTATGTGTGGTCATAACGACTTCTAAGTCGCTACGCAAAATTAGAGAAGCAGTGTATTTAACATTGCAACGATATGCATGTCGTTTTTTGTCTCAGGAACGAGTTTTAAATTGTTTTAGTATCAATTTTAACTGAAACGACTTCGGAGTCATTATGTGTGGTCATCACGAGTTCTAAGTCGTTATGCAAATAAGGATAGCAGTGTGCATCTTACATTGCAACAACATGACAATGGAAAACATGTAGGCTTGTACATGTAAGACTCAACAACCTGACATGGACAATATCTAAACTTTAAAGTTATAGAAGACAATGGAAAATATGCACATTGAAATTGTATTCAAACTCCAAAATAGCTGCTACTCCAAAGCCAAAACAACCAAGTGACTACATAACGTTATAAAAATATAAAAAAATACGAGCAAAGCACAATCTACGGCTCAAAATCCCAAGCCAACAACTCTGCAGCTAGTTTCTTTCTCCATACTGGTACGTAATCCGGTCGAATTGTATTTACGTCCATATTTGCGTGCAGAAATTCTATGAATTTGATAGCGAATATTCCACAATCGGATCTACAAAAAAGTTGTAAAATTTTTGTATTAATTTTCAACACTCAAGATAATATGGTACTACTAATTATGAAATTAGTCATTCTTACCCGTTCACTTGTTGGGGAACATCTTTTACGTTGACAAATTTGAAGTTTTCCGTACTATATTTGCTTTCACTGGTGACATGAGATTTTATTATCAACGGAATAAACACCTGTAGAGGCAAAAGGTAAGCTTCCAACGTTGCCCGGCGAATGTGACCCTTCAGACTATCAAACATTAAAATGGCCCGTTCCTCCATGTCGACTTGAACTGCAAACCAATGGTCGCGGGTCCAACAAGGAAAATACAAATATTTACAGTCCCTCCAAGGTTTACCGAGCTCCGGAGTAGCCCCTCTCACATAATTCATTAGACTCTTACAACATTTGAGCTCTTTACTGGACTATAATTGGCCATATGCATTGACAATAAATTGATAGAAATAAGTGTCCAATATGCAACAGTCTTGCCGAAACAGATTGGGAAATCTGGAAGCCCTTTCTCGTATCTGATATAGGGCCTCATTCATAATCTACAAAAATAAACTAATAAATTCAAACTGAATTCTTTTGTGAGATTATCGTAAAATCATTAAAGTTGGATTACTTACACTGTCATTAATCCAACCATCCTCTTTCGAAAGATCCATCAAACTTTTTGTTTGAACATCATAGAAGCGCAAAAGTATAATTTGGCCGTGCATACAACCAAATCAACACGAAATTATATTTAGGTAATACTATCATTACTTTCACATGTACTTACAACTATATATAATAATTTACCACGAAAGTGTAGTTTCCATCCATTTGCAAAAATCCTCAACCTTGCTGGGATCTACTTCTCGATAAGGATCATATACATTGATGTCCGACAACTTTCTCCTCTTCGTCAGGTCAGTGTACGGAGAACACAGTAAGCGCGCTTTTCTCTTCCGACGATACCCTTGTCCTTTCAATGGATCGGATCCCGCCTCATCAATTTCTACAACGTCCCCTATATGTTGCAAATAACAACAATTAGAAGTGGAAAATCTGTTTCATTTGGATATAAAGATGTAAAACTTAACTTTGAATTCATTTTTACATACCTTTCGTGGATTCATTTGTATCTACATCATGCTTTACAAGCGTCACAAAATTAGCAATCCCTTTCTCCACGTCGGGACGCTCCTCCTCTAATATTATTTCTTTTCCAACACTCTCCTTGATCATTTTTTCATTTTCTTGCTCATCTATATCATTCCCAGATCCAGCTTCCTTTTCCAGTCCTTCCCTCCTACATTTTTGCCTCTAACTTCCTCCTCTAACTTTGGGTCCTCCTCACGCGCTTCTACATTTGTTTCAGCGGCAGGCACATCTCTCACATCATCAAATCCAGGCTCAGTTTCCAACTCCTTCCTTCCTACATTTTTTCCTCTAACCTCCTCCTCCTCCTCTAACTTTGAATCCTCTTCAGGCAGATCTACCTTTCTTTCAGCAACATGCACAGCTGTCACATCATCAAACCCAACCTCCTTTTCCAACCCATCCTTCGGTTCATTTTCTGGTACATAAGCTGTGCTACTAGTGGCACCATCAAATGCACTAGTTGCTGGATGGAACCGACCCGCCACAGCCAATTCAACTAACCTGTCAACCTTTTTCTCCACCCGATCAAGTCGAGTCGATATAACTGCTTGTAGCCTTCCCTCAAGTTTTTCAATTTCCGTTCTCAATAAATCCTCTATGTTGATCTCAAAACCACGCTGTGGTGGTTGAGCTGCTCTAGGAGACTCTTCGTGGTATGCATGCTGTGGCTCGGCATCTTGCTTAGCCTCGTCTCCTTCGAAATGATGTGAAACACTCTCATCTTTTTCCACGATTGGTTCAACTCTTTCCAATAGACCTCTTCGAGTTCAGCTTCGGTGGGAATCAATGTGGAATTAACCTCCAACTGCAAATATTAAAAGGTGCAAGTCATTAGTCATTCATGAAGCTAATTCCACAATTTGTTCCCATTAAACTTAATAAAGACAATTTTACCTCCTTCGAATTCAACACGTTCTCAATGGCAGCAGACGTTAACCTCTTCGGCATTTCCCAAGCGAGCATTCTTGGTATTACATCTGGATATTTCATACCAAACTTCATTCCCAAAGTTGGGATCGCTTCAAATGCCCAAATCTATTGCAAAACAAACATTTATATTATCTCACAACACAAATTTATATATATATATACGAGTCAAGTTTATTATTTGTTCATACCATTATAGCGAGGGGAAAGCCGTGCAATGAATATCGGCAACGTGATTCGCCTCCAACGTCCGAACTTTTCAATTTATCTCCCATCTCACGTTTGAATATACTGATCGTGTATTCAAATGAAAACTTTCCCCATGGATACGTCTCGAATCTATCTAGATCGTCCACCAAGTCTAGCCACCATAAATCGATGTATGTATTCTCCTCCGTAACCCACATGACGTACGCCAAGATTACGATCAATCCTCACTTATACTTATCGCTCTTTCTTTTCTTGCAAATTACAAATGCATTGTAAGCATCTCCCTTCGTTATCTTTCCCCCACTATTCTTAAAATACTCTTTCACGATCCGACACTCTTCCCCCAAGGTCTTATCTACGTCGTTATCATCACCAGCATTTAAGACCGTTACTAAAATAAATTCTTCCAACCCAAATTTTGTATTTTTCTCTCCTATCTTAAACCATACTTCTTTTTTATTGGTCCTTAACTTTCGCAATAATAACTGATGTATAACTTGTGAAGCCAACTTTATGTCCTTCAACCTAAGGAGAGATCCAAAGCAGCTTTCACTAAGCTTGTTTTTGTAATTTGTATCGAGCTTTTCATATACATCTCGCACTATTTGCAATCTGCATCTCGTCGTAATCGTAGCATCTACTTGAAGAATCTTCTCCATAGCACTGCAAATTATAAAATATGTACTAATATTAGAACTGATGATAGTAAAGCACATAATAACAAATATAAAAACTAGAAATATTAAAACAAGCTACCTAGTTCTTCTAGTTTTTCTTGTAGTAGAAATTTTTTTGAATATGAAATTTAATAGCATGTATTATCATTGCTAACAACAAAGTTTATTTTATTTGATATTCACTTGTTAGGCGTTCTTAGCTTATGTGCTTTATAGAACTTGTAAGTACAATGTATTATAAATTGTGTATAATGATGAATATATACTTCTTGTTTGAAAGATCAACGTGAACTCAAGAAAGCTCTTAGAAGAAGAATAGGCAAAAAAAAATGACATTACTTGATATTGCAAATATTTCATCTGATGCAACTTTGTTTGTAGACTTAGTTTGAAATGTATTGACAAATTCAGAGCCTTGACTTTGTATTTATTTAGAATGAACCTCAACTTAGTGATGTTGCTTCAATAGATTAGTTCAAGTGGAATGACAATCATGAAAATAAAGTTAAAATGATCTATAATTCAATGGTGTAAGACATTTGAAGAGCGGTGTGCTCAACAATGCAAATCAAAATTTGGATCGAGGAGAGCAGAACGCCAAACATTCAAAGAAACTTTTGTGTACAGATAATACAATTTTCATACAAAGGGGCAAATGAATATGTTCAAGTAAGAGATGCACTAAATTAAAGGTATAAACAAGAGCAATGAATAGATTACATCTCTTCATCTTATCAGTCTTTAGCATTTAACTAGACATAAGATCGAGTTTAATTTTTCAATCTAGAAGATCTTTGACAATGTCTGTGATGGTAGAAAAAAGGGTTTGTGGTATGATGCATGACAATCTCTAGTTGGATGCAACCTAGCAGCAAATCTAAGGGTATGGTGCAGTTCAAAACATTCTAACTGAACAAACTAGTCGAACTAATTGCCAGGGATGAACACATTCTTAGGAATATGATCTCCATCACAAGAATTTAGAAAATAGTTTGTCTACTTGAATTTCCACATTATTTTGGTTCGAGATGCATAGTTCATAGGACACTTTTGGCAATGTCTTAGAATGTATATAATCAACTCGATTAAAATAAAATAAAATAAAAACAACCCTATTTTCAGTTGCTAATTAATCACCCAACATCCAACAAAAAATAGTATCAAAACTTCAACAATTCATCATCAAGTCATAAATTAGTATACATATACAAATATATCTGTTCATAGCAGAGAAAAATTTGAGAGGGGCGACAAACCTGTGAGTGGGAGATGGAGAGGCGAAAAATTTGTTGTAGATAATCTTGTAAGAATCTTGAACTTTTGAAGTGGAAGGAAAACAGATGGTGAGTTCAAATGTCTAAGATGATGAATTTGAAAGAGAAGAAGGTTTTTAATTTGGAGGAGAAGAAGTTTGGAGCCAAGGGAGGTTTTCACGTGATGAATGGTAAGAAATCCCCAATTCTTTCTTGGGGAAATGAGTTGGGAAGGCCCCTTTAATATGCATTTTGTTCAATTGGCCTTTGACCAAACTTATAAAAATAAAAGGAGTTTTAATTATTTAAAAGTGTCAAAAGACTTCTTTACCCTTAACTTGTAAAACAAAAATGAAGAAGAAATTTGAGTTTTTTTCTAAATTTGTTGGAGCCATGACTTGAACCTTGGAATGCAAGAAAATATTTTAACTCCACAACCATTATGGCAAATGACGGTTCTTTGTTTCCTATGAGCAAAATATATATATTACATTTCAAAAAATTGTTTTATTCTCACTTCAAAAATAAAATTTAATTAAAATTAAAATTTAACAATAACCCACCGATTAAACCATTAACCCGGTAATTTTTTTTAGTTGATCGTCGGGTTGGCTCTAACAACTATGCATTCATGCTCTAACACACACAACATTCCCTTCCTTTAAATTCAAAAAATCTTCATCTTCAAAATCATCTTCTCCTTAGAATTCGAACTCTTCTTTTTAAGTTTCAGGTCATCTCTTTTTCGTAATTGATCTCCAGTGCAACCAAAGTTTTAACATTGTCCACAACTTAACAACTAGTCGAAAATAATTATTGAGTCATTTATTCATTAGACACATATTATAACACATGAAATTTTTTAAAATAAATTTATCGTTATATTTTGAAAAAAAAAATGGAGAAAAAAATATTTTTTAAATTTATATCTTATTTAAAGTCCAATAATTAGATTTTAATAAAAAGCGATGCAGTATATCAATTTGTACTCATTTTAAAGCTTGTAATTAATAAGAACTATTCGACTCGAGAAAAAGTCAATTCGAATAAGCCAGCACGAAAATATTGCAATTTGAAGAAATCGTAAAATATAACTTATCAACTTAATAAAAATGTGGAATGGAAATGAGCTGCTGACACTGTTTCACTGATTTGCATAAGACATTGAAATCGTTCCTGAAATATAAAACGACTTCGATATCATTTCAGTATCAAATACACTCTGCTTAACTGATTTGTATAACGACATTAAACTCATTCCTGAAGTACAAAAAACGATGTATATGTCGTTCCGATATCGAATACACATTACTTCACTGTTTAACAAGTTTAAGTGCACGTTATAGAATAAATAAACAACGTTTATGTCATTTAGCAATTTTCAACGACAATGATATCGTTCCTATTCAATCGTAACTATAATGTCATACATATCGTTTCAGAAGTGATTACAGTAGAACGTTATAACTACGATATTAAATGTAATTAAAATTTACATATAATTGATCGTGGACGATCGAATCGTCGTTTTTATGATTATCGTTTTAGTTAAAATTTAAATTAAAGCGATATCAATGTTATCAAAATTGTACTAAAACGATAATAGTATCATTATGTATCAAACTCACAAAATAAGACGACATTCAAATCGTCATAGTACAAATTTAATAAGTTTGAAATCATTCCAATTCAAATCACAATGATAATGACATAGATATCATTTATTTTCATTAGAACAAAAATGTTCTCATAGTTTCTTTTGAGGGAGATCGAACCCACTTGATTATCTATTTTTATCATTCTATATATACCAAATGCACGACTGGTGGTCATAGACAGTCGAATCGTTATTTTTAGCATAAACGATATAATTGTCGTTTTATTTTAACTGAAAAGATATGTACATAGTTTTAGTTTTGATTTAAGTTAAAATGATATCAACATTATCAAACTTGTATTGAAACGATAATGATATCGTTAAGTGTCAAAATCACAAATAAAGTAATGACATTCATATCGTTTTAGTACAAATTTGACGAGTTTGAAATCGTTCCAATTCAATTCACAATTATAATGGCGTAGATATCGTTTCTTTTCATATAAAATAATAATTATATCTTCTAGCTAAAAATAACGATTTGACCGTCCACAATCATCCGTCATGCCTTCAACATACGTAGGACGATCGAAAGACGTTATCAAATGGGTTGATACCACTCGAATGACTTAGAAAGAGCAAACGAAGATACTTCTGTCAGAATAGTTCGAAGGTGGTATACAATCATGAGAATAAAAATGTTCTCATAGTTTCTTTTAAGGGAGATCGAACCCACTTAATTATCTATTTTGATTATCCTACATATGTCAGATGCATGTCTGGTGGTCGTGGACGGTCTAATCATTATTTTTAGCAAAAACGATATAAGTATCGTTTTATTTTAAATGAAACGATATGCATGTAGTTTTAGTTATGATTTAAACTAAAACGATATCAACGTCGTCAAAATTGTATTGAAACATATTGATATCGTTATCTATCAAAATCACAAATAAAGTAACGACATTCATATCGTTTTAGTACAAATTTGACGAGCTTGAAATCGTTCCAACTCAAATCACAAGTATAACGACGTAGATATCGTTTCTTTTCATATAAAACGATAATTATATCGTTCTGGATAAAAATAACGATTCGGACGTTCACAACCACCCATCATACTTTTAGGATACGTAGGACGATCGAAAGAGGCCATCAAGTGGGTTGATACCACTCGAATGACTTGGAAAGAGCAAACGAAAATACTTTCTGTCGGAATAGTTTGAAGATGGTATACAATCATGAGAACAAAAATATTCTCATAGTTTCTTTTAAGGGAGATCGAACCCACTTGATTACCTATTTTGATCATCCTACATATGTCAGAAGCATGTTCGGTGGTCGTGGACGGTCGAATCATTATTTTTAGCAAAAACGATATAAGTATCGTTTTATTTTAACTGAAACGATATGCGTGTAGTTTTAGTTATGATTTAAACTAAAACGATATCAACGTCGTCAAAATTGTATTGAAACTATATTGATATCGTTATATATCA